CATTATCTGCTTTTGGCAGATGTTAAAAGGTGTTTTGCACACTTGCGAGGCAAGATTATCTCATGCACCAGCTTAACACTTGGTTTATTAATTTTTTTCTTGTTCTTTATTTTTTGCATTTGATGTGGAATGCAGAGCTGTATAGTACGACATCATAGCACACTGAACATGAAGGGGAGAATATTTTAGAACAGGCTTGACCTAGAACGACAGCTGCTCTCCTTTGAGAAAGCTCATGGTGACATCTAAACCAAAGTGGCATCTGGATGTCATCAGTATGATGTCAAAGAATATATAGGTCATGCATTATATGATGGAAGGAGTGCTATTGTTAGGAATGATCGTTTTTGGCTCATATTTGTCCGTCGAACATATCGAGGTATATTTCCATTACAAGTATAATCAGAGCAAAGCCATTTCCTCTTATTTTGTATGGAGGAAATATTCACTGCGGTAATATATACAATACGTTGTTATAATCTACATAATTATATACGCTTTTACTATTACAAAATGAGTAGTGTGGCACTAGCCCTAGGCAGCAAAGCTAACGGGATAACACACTGGAAGAGGTAAGGAAAGCCCTCTGGCAACTTTCAACTAAAGTATGAGCCTTGGACGTCGGCCATTATAAACACACTCTTCAAAACATATACGCTCATTCGCATGCTTGAAAACAAAGGTACAAACACACAGTTTTACATCCCAATCCAATCAGGCTGTGAGAGCTTGTTTCACAGTGAATCTCAGATGTTTGTTCATCCAACTCGCCATCAGCTCAAACAGAGGAATTTAAATTAGGCAAAGCTGGTCTCCTGCTTCACTTTACACATCTGTTGGTGTTAAAAACATTCTTATCAAGATGTCAAAATTTAAAGACAGTGATCAAAATGTTCAAATAGAGCAGCTATGTTTTGATGTGGAGAAAGCATCTGTGGTATTCCACTACCCATCATCTCCTCTTCACATGCATGCAAGTTAAATGTCCATGTCTCTTTCTGGTTACAGTAGAGTGGGACAAAGTGAACCCAATGATGGACCTTGTTGCTTCTCTGTCAAAAGAGATTCTGCTTTGTTAAATCTGTGTGTTGAGGAACAATCGCCTGGTGAATAACTACCGGACATTAAACTGAATCTGCTCCCCTCACTGACACATGTACATCACACAGCATCTACCGGGAAAATAGTCGACACACGTGTATATATATAAAAAGAAAAGGCCCACTTTCATTACTACGCACACATACCAAACCCCGTCTCTCTTCCTCTCCTGTCTCCGGTTCGTCTTCCTGATATCAACCGGATGCGGTGTCACATCTGGCCACGGAAGAACCACAGCATCCGTCTTTCACAGATGAAACGAAAGCTGAGAAGTCAGACAAAAAAAAGGGGGAGGAAAAGGAGAGGAAAAAGTATCTGTTTGAGCTTCAAACGAATCCCACCGGTGAAATATTGTTTCAATGTACTCTGCACTTTGTAGCCCTCAAGCCGGCTTTGAACTACTTTGGCACCTGTCACAAATACTGATGAAATAGTTTCTCTCTGCTGAGCATTTTTTTATCCTTTTTATGTTTCCCTCATTATCCTCTTTTTCCTTCCCTCTCTCGCCAATTGATTCCCAGAATTCCTCTCATTTCGGCCTGCAACACATTGCACTCATGTTTTTAAGAAACACTTCCTGCAGTACAATTCTGAGCTCTTGCAACACGGCGTCTATGAATTATCCAAGTTGTGGCTCGCTTGCTATTGACCTGTATTACAACTTTTTATGGACTGTAAAATATTTAGATAAGTGCTGATTTATGTGAACAGCAGACCACCTTTGTACGTTCTGTTACACATTTCATGGAAAGCCTGTTTTTCTATTTCCTGGTGCGTGAAAAATACTGAACATGTTTCAACCATCATTAGAAGAAGTTTTTGACTACAAAATACCTTTTGATGAAAGTACAAAGGACGCTAAAAAGACACTTAAATGAAAGATAACTGTCAGAGAAAAGGACAAGTAGACAGCTGAGGTGACACAAAGTCAATACTCAGATGAATTAAACATCGGTTAGCTCCAGCTTGCGCCAGAGGCTATGCTAGCTTCTGACATACTGGCACCTACAAGTTAGCTTTAGCAGCAGGATGCTCAAAACCTCCTTTTTTTTTTTTCCTACTCTCGTGGCACCTTGGACGTTGCAAGCCCACAGCTTTTGACACAAGCATCCTTTTCTACTAAGACTTCAAAAGACCACAAGTGCAAATCAATCTCTTCTTTCTTCTCTGTTTGCCCTCGCCATCAATTTTCAAGCGTTGTCTGAAGCTCCAGGCAGTTAATTAAATAGGATGTTGTCAGGGGGGCCCTGGTTCGTGGTGTGGATAAAGCTTTGACTCTAGGACTGAGAAAGGATTGGTGGAGGCAGTGTGTAAAAAAATAAAATAAAAAAAGAAAGGCACAAAAGAAGTGAAAAGACTTCTAGGCATTGCTCTCATGATTTAATTTTTTTTCTCCATACTTTTGGGTGCTCTGTTTCTGTGTCTCTCATCTTTCTTTCGACCCTTACTTTTCGATTCTTTCCTTTATTTCTTTTTTTCCTTTCCTCGCATCACCAACTATCTGACTTCCCTGTTTCACTCTGCTCTGTTACCAATTAAATTTGGCTCTTCTGCTTCTCCCTCTCCTCTCCTTTCCCCCACATTCTTTTCACATCCCTCCCTGCTCCCTCGTTCTCTTCTTCATCCTTCATCTTCCTTCTCCTTCCACTATTCCCAACCAAACCACTCCACATGAGCCATCCATTTTGCCTCACCACCTTCCTCGTAGTTGATTGTACATCAGGTCTTCTGTTGGCTGTTTTCTGCCAATTCCCCGCTCTCATTATGTGTTGTGCATGTGTTTGTGTGTGATCAGACACACAACGTAAGGGCTAAGCAGTCTAATGAACAAACTCCAGCATTGTGTTCAGGCCCTAGGGACATGCTGTAGCTTCTAATGTACAACAGCTCAGAGGAGACGAGGGAAGAGCAAAATACACTGACAGCAAGCCATCTTTCTGCTTACAGGAGCTACAATAGATGAAGTAGAGGATGTGCTGTGAATATTTTACAAATGTTCTGATCGATGTTATTCCGTCATAAATTTTTCTGATTAGTCAACATCAGTACATAGTCCCCTCCCCTGCAACTTCAGGTACTTTCACACTGCTGTAACATAGTGTTAAAGGGCCCATATTATGTTTTTTCTGGTTTTATATGCTCTTTAGTGTGTTTTCCATGTCTCCTGTGCATGTTTAGGCACATCTATGTGCAAAAATTCAAAGTCCGCAGAAATGCGGCTTCTCCTACGTCCTCCTGTTAGCTGTAGCATTAGCTGCAGCATTAGCTGCATGTAACGCTCGGTTCTAGCCCCCCTCGATAAAAATGTGTCAGTGCGGCGTCATTGTCAGTGTGAGGTCACTGATCTAAGCCCATTGGCTCGTTGTGGCAAGCCCTGCAGCTCATGTTGAAATTTCAGAGACGCGTGCTGAGCAACTGACCAATAACGACAGAGCGGATCAGCAGACCAATCAGAGCAGACTTGGCCCACGTGGGGTCTAACAGTGGGGGCTCAACAGAGTGTAGCTGACAGACTCAGAGCAGAGAGGGAGCAAGGAGGAGCAGTTCATGAAAACAGACACTTTTTTAGAACTTTAGCTATTGTGAACGTACAAAAGATTACATAAATTAAATATACGAACCCCAAAAAGGGCATAATGTGGGCTCTTTAAACATATTTTGGACTTGAGCAAATGTATGATTTCATAAGATTTTGAGGCATACAACTTTTAAAAAATCATCTTACATATAAACTTGTTTTTTATGCAAAGATTTTGGAATCTTTGACCACAGTCCACAAGTTTGGAGGGTTCCTTTTCCACAAATAAAAAGTGTCTTCCTCCTGCAACGTGTCTTCTATTATGTGAGTCACTCAACAGTGTCTCTAGGTTATACAATGTGTGATTTGTCAGCCAAAGTTCTTTTAGACTTTTTGCCCCAAAAAGTACAGTACAGGCTGGGTTAGTTCCATCCAAGCTTTAATTTATGTTGTATAAGATTTGTCATCCCCCACCCTCTTCCTGCTCATTCTCTCTCTCTCTTTCATTTTTAGTGTTGAAGTGCAATGCATCGCTGCCAAAACATGGCATGAACACTGTAATGACTTCATTCCTTCCAGCACATGCACACATTAATATATAGAAGCTGTTGCATACTGAGTGGACCGTCCTGTCTTATTCCTTCTCAGTAAAATCAACACATGCAGGCATGGACACAAATTAATCCAACTGGGCATTAAGGAACTCATTTTGCCAGATTCATCTTTGCAAGGACACACGCCCTCCAGGGTTGTGTACTCCAGTGCTGTGAGCCAGTGCATGGGCTGCTTCCAGATGATCTAAACAAGAGTCTGTCGGCTCTGGCCAATATCAATGACGAATGTGCACCTGCACACACACACACACACACACACACACACACACACACACACACACACACACACACACACACACACACACACACTCGGACAAAGTTCATGAGTTGATTATTTCATTGCACACATGGACATAATACACTGTAGTCTGTCTTCTTACAGTAACAATGTGGCACTGTTGTGATTCAAATAGTTTAGTAGGGTAGATAATCTACTGTATTAAATGTTCTTTTGCTTATGGTTTTTCTGCACCTTATACATCAGGAATCATCAAATGGCAGACCACAGTCCTAATCCACACCCAGGTGCTGTCCTTTAAGGACCTGGGATTCATTTAATGTGCATTTAAATTTGAAACAGCACAGCTTTTTGATGTTTTAACTTCAGTCGATTTAACCGCCTCAGCTTTTCATGCCCTTTTCAACAACCTGGAAGCTCACAGACCATTTCAATGTTCTGAAATTGACTCGCGTAATGCTACTCAGCCAATCAAGTCCTTTACTCAGGCCAGGTATTACATGGAGAACACAATGGGTGTGTGATGATAATGAAACAGGTGGAGCAGTCAGCAGACAGGAAAGTGTCAGCAACACAGAAGGAGAAACTATATGAGTCAGGGAAGAGTCGACGTGGTGTGCTGTAAAATCAGAAAAGAAGAAAGCAAAAAAAATAGCTTTTAATCTAGAATACTTGCACTTTGATTTGTCCATTCTCCTCACAGCCGGTTTAAAACCAGTATGTCATATCTGTTTTAATACTCTCACTAACATTGAATGGGGTAATGTTAAACATCATTACGAGAAAAAGCCCACATCTTTTAATCAATAATACCAACTCAAATGAGAGCTGAGGACACAGAAAAGTAGTTAAAAGGCTTTTTTTTCAAACTGTTTATGTGAAATATATAACTATATCTGAAATCTGAATGGATTATTATTATTATTTGATTATTATCAGAGAACCCTCTAGTTCATAATAAACATCCTTGTCACTCCATTGAACCTTATTTGATTTTGACAGTCAGTTGTTGACTTCCACTCCGACATTGACAAAGCTCCCTTCAAATGTCACAGAATCATATCACATGTTAGACATAATGATGGTCCAGACCTTCGCTTGAGGAAATTTCCCTGAACCGAACATAAATTGTAATTGAAGACTCCTGTTATGTGGTGCAAGGCCAGGGTTCTTGCACAATCCTGTAACACATATGAGCAGTGAATCACAGCACAGCTCTTTCAGCTGAGTGTGTTGCATCAAATCTGGCATGAAGTCAAAATATGTAACCCACGGCTCTTCTCGGCTAACAACCCATTTATTTCATCACTCCTGCTCTAAAAACTTAAATCACTTTTTGTCTTGTTTTCTCGTTTCTTTAACCGTAGTAAACAGCCTCACTCGTTTGCCTCTATAACTTCCTGTTTTGGGGATAGTTGTTTAAAAAGTATCTCTTGTTTTGTCTCTGCAGGACTGCCCTCAGATCCTCCCCTCAACCCAGATCTACATCCCCGTCGGGGTGACAAAGCCTATCACCTTGGCCGCCAAGAACCTGCCCCAGCCGCAGTCAGGACAGAGGAACTACGAGTGTGTCTTCCACATCCAGGGAGAGACCCACAGTGTGCCCGCCCTGCGCTTCAACAGCACCTCCATACAGTGCCAGAAAACAGCGGTGAGTACAAAAGGAACAGGACATAGTACAGATGTATGAATAAGTAGATGTCGTTGAAGCAGTATCAGTGTTGGGAAACACAGCATGAGAGAAACAGAGGCAGATGTTGTTGTTTACAGAGGTATATAGTAAAGGCTTAAGGTCAAAAGATTCAGAAATGGACGCCATTGGGTCTGCTATTCTGACAAAATGAAAGCAGGGATGTAAAGAATAAGACCAAAGTCTCCTGACCACTGTACAGACTTGATTCTAATTGATACTTTACCATTTGTATAGGCTAAAAGCTCAGCCATTCGAAACTATTCCTCTTATCGTAATCTATGTGGATTGGTAACTAAATCAAGATCCCAGTACAGACATTGACTCGGGTCAGGGTTTAAATAATGGCCTCCTACAACTAATGAGCACTTTAGACACTAACATGTTCATTGTCCTGATAGATCACCCACGCTCCACTTGGACACTGGTTTGCTCACAAGCTAGATAAATGATCCTCGGCTGATCTTCCCACATTGAGCTGATAGTTAGCAAATTAATATTGACGTTAAGATTTCACATAGACTTATTTCAACTGGGAAACACTTGTAATAATTGTTAACTGTCAGGGATTTTTCCCAGATAGTAGGTTTCTGGATTGAAGGATTATCAGTTTTTATGTATTTGTGTTTGGTATATGAGTGTGTGTGTATGAGTGTGTGCTGCATTAAAGTTTTTTCAAGGATGTTTTTTTTTTTTGCTAAAGTTGTGTGTTTCTTTGCTAAATGTGTGTGTGTAGGAAGTCTGTGCATGTGGATCTACACCTGTGAGTTTGTGTGTTGACATATGGTTTTGTAAATGTGTTTGCGTGTGTGTGTGTGCGTGAGGTTAGGTTCGTGTTTGTGAGCCTCCAATCTAGCGTGACAGATAAGAGGTAGCTAGCGTCACGCTTCACTGAGGCTGAAAATGTGAAGAGGAAGTCTGTCTCTGAACCTAGTTGGGAGCGGATTGATCATGTTTACACCTCCACACTATACCTCTCTCTCCCTCTCTTTCTCTCACACTTCTCCTCTCTGCAAGTAGAGCTCATCTTTCTCTCTACTCCCTCCCATGTTTTTCAGACTTTCTTCTCCCAGCCATTCCCCACTTTCTCTGCATCTTCCACATCTCTCATTCAATCTGCAGCTCGCATGAATGTTTCTATTTCCATCTCAGTGTATAAAGCAGTGCAACAAACTTGAGATGAGATCAGAGTTGGTGCTGTCAATTTTGTTTCATATGAGGGTCTCAAAGCTGTCACCGAAACATGTTGCACATAAATAAAATAATTGATTTAAAAAAAAAAAAACAGTCTTGTTAATGAGATTTAGCGCCTTAGAGAAGTTCAACACCTTTCCATACTACACACCCAGTCATTCTAGTGTCAAGAAAAAGCAGACATATAGATATAAGTAGATAAACTTGTTAAAACGCACACGCACACGCACACGCACACGCACACGCACACGCACACACAGACACACCAGCAGCAGTCTCAGGGTAGCCTCTGTGACGGCTAACACAGCATTTGAATCTGCCGGTATTGACAAGCGGTCTTCAGGTGCTGGCACGAGCTAGCAAGTTGTTTTCGAAGGCAGGGCTAATTAGCTAGCGATAGGGTTGTCTCTCCACAGAGATGTCTGTTTATTGACTGTTTATTGTAGCTGCAAGGGCAGTGCTAATCAGCAGCAGAGCTTAGCCATGGCCAAAAGCTGAATTTCTTCATTTGATGTCCACAAAGCAGACATGCTCGCAGCAATTAGCCCGGGGCTGTCAGCACTTAGCTCTTGTTAGCAATTAGCTGTGCCAACTTGACTGCACTTTCAGATATCGATGCAGCGTGTGCATCAACTCTTGGTGAAGCTGTAGTTAGATTCAGCGGATGAAAAAGATGCCAGCTGCATGAACTTGCCATTAAGGCATAATTCATCCCAGCCTGAGCTTATGAGCATAATTATGTGTCATAAATTATTAGGATAGGAGTCTTATTATAGCTCCGGAGCAGTATTTCAAAAGAACGAGCGTCTTAAATATTAGTTTATCCTTTTATAGACCTTCATATCTCTACTTTTCATGCACCCCACCCCCTCCATGTTTGCTCCTTCTTTGACAGTGTTCAGCACCAACTTAATGAATCATGTATGACTCTGCAGTAGAAATAGACTTCATCTCTTATGCTGCATACACACTGCTGCCTCCTCTGTTTGCAGGCACACAGCTATGGGGAGAGGGGTTAATCAGTGTCTGTGCGTGTGTGCACATATGCATGCTTCGATATGCCTCAGGCTATGGATCCCAGGATAGCTGTATATGTGGGTGTTTTAGTGTGCAGCTTCATTATGCTGCAGCAAGAACACTGTTGGGGGGGGCTTGCTAATCAATGGGATAAACACAGGGGTGCTAATCCACAGTTTAGCCTTGTGTTTGAGATACCTTGAGTGTTTATCACTGTGTCAAACTGACACTCAATCAGTCACTGGGAGTAAGATGAGGACTAGGGTCGACACATGAGAGTTGCATGAAGAATTCCTGTAAAGTAGTAAAGGAGAAGTGAGTGAAAGAGAGAGGACAGAATACCTGGAGGTCAAAAGGACAGACGATACATATGGAGAAAAGAAGGATGAGAAAAACAAGAGGTAATACTAGACAGCAGAGGAAACGGCAAAAACGTGAAGATGAGAGTCTTACAAGGGAAATCAGAGCGTAGTAGACATTTTCAGGTAAGATGAGTTTAGAAAAGTGAGAGGGAGAGTAATATTGAAAAGAACAGAGATGGGAAAGGGAGATGAGAGGGAGCGAAGGAGGAAATCAGCTCAAAAGCTTCTCCTGAGGCCAAAACTCATTCTCCTGTCTTTCATACAATATCTTCACACTGTCTAAAGGAGGATGACTATCCACAGTGTGATCATGTTTAAACTGTAGTTTATACATTACTCCTTTTACAATGACCGTAATAACTCAAGTGTCCCCTAACAGGATGCTGTCAATAACCTACTGTGTATATGACACACATGAAATATGATAGTGTAACATCAGCTCTGTTCGAACCTCGCTGGATATTGACTATCTATATGTGCTTATGGGGAAGATATTGGTGCTATGGTGTTTCTATATAAGGTTTCAGTTGTCACAAAGTGATCCCAAAGGGAAAAAGTGAGCGTATCACAAGACATGAGAAAGAATGCAGCACTAGAAAAAAGGGTTGTTTTTTTTGTAAGCGGAGACATGAAACAAGCAGACCACACAAAATCCAAAGTGTTGAGACTTAAGTGAATCATATGTTTAGAGTACGGATTTAAAAAATGCTCAAAGCTCTAAATTTAGCTGTTTTGAACTTCAAAAATGTTGGTATTGTGAAAAATATGGTTCTTCTTCACACGCTTTCTCTTTCTCACTTTTGAGGTTGGATACTGAGCCAAACCCAATAACTCAAGATTTTTTTGGAACCTGTGAGAGTTGATGAAGTGGCAGATTGTCCAAGGTCCTATAGCAAGTTAATTGGAGAAGATTACTGATCATTTTGTTTAAAAAAAAAAATGGACTCCATATTTCTAAGTGCCAAACAGGCCCACATTACCACTGACACATACGGAGCCATCCGCCATGCCGTATGTTAGCAGTTAACTCCGGTCAGCAGAAACCACAACAACAAGCTGGTGTCTACATCGGTTCCTTCCCTGTTTCCTGACCCAGCCCGGGCCCCTTCCCCTGTTTGTGGCCCAATCAGAGTTAGAGGTGAGGATGCAAGGGGCGAATGAGATGCTGAGCTTTGGGCTGAGAAGTTGTGCCAGAGGGGTCATGGGAGAGGATAAACACATGTACACACAATTGACCACACTGTGGGGTCAGTGAGGCTGAGGGAGCGCAGCTGGGTCCTGTTTAAAGGCCGAGGTTCAGAAAAGAGAACTGAACTGTGTGAGGCCTTTTCCTTTCTCCGTTGCTTTATCTCCCCTTTTTCATAGCTTTCAGACAAATTATCTTTGTGTCATTCTTTTCCTTCTCTCTCTCGCTCTCTCTCTCTCTTTATCCTCTCTTTTTTGGTACTCCCTGGAGGGCAGGAATGAGTGGACGGATAATATCAGCGCGGGGCCTTACGCCATTACCTTCTGTCTGATAAACAGCTCGGCTACTCCATCACCGTCTTTCTCTCACTCCTTCACTGGGTAGAAAAAAAGCAGACACGGGGGCAGCAGGAGAAAATCTAGTTTGGAATAGGGTGTGTGCCTGTGTGTTATTCTTCTGTGTGTAGAGAGAGCAGCTGTTTGTTAAAGGAGAAATGGGAAGTATCAAGGGTCCTGATGGCATCCAATTAAGGCAGATAAAATGATGATGAATTGCAGGCGGGCTGGAGAGACGCACGCTCCTGTGTGAGTGCGTGAGCACACATACACACAACAGAAGGAAGATGGCAGGAGGAGAAAAGAGACCACACACCCTTAAAAGATATAAGGAGGAGAAGGAAAGACGAAAGGAGAGGAAAGAAGAGTAATATTTTGGGCTAGAGACAGCAGGAGAAAAGGGAAGAAGAGAGAGAATGAGAAGGGGATGAGGACAAGTGCAGAGAGAGAGCTTGGAGAAGAGAGAGAGAGAGAGAGGGCAAATAATCTGCTCCCCTCTGATGGGAAATGAGAGAAGGGTGGCACACAAGAAGGATGGATAGATAGATAGATGAATAGATGGATGGACGGAGCAAATAGAGGTCTAGAGAAGAGTCTGCAGGGAGAGCTGTTAACACAACCTCAGTGGTCTAATAGTGTCACATCACCCCAACATGATGAGTGAGAAAGACTGTTTGGATGCAAACTTTCCTGACTTTGGAAGACTTCCTGGAGTTTAGAGGATTTGTTAAAAGATGTAACTTGGTGTAAAAACTTCAAATTATAAATTATATTTGAAAAAAAACCTTCCATTTTAAATAAATCACTGCACAGGAAAACACACACACACACACATACATAGTGCTAAATGTGGCAGAGATGAGACTA